ACATACCTATAGGTTCCAGGCCTTTTATTTGAAGCGTATCAGTTTTGTTTGTGTGTTTTAATAGAGTAAATAACAGAGAGACGGTTTGTGTGTATTACATTAATCTGGGATTTAAATAAATGAGTCATCTCAGATCATTTGTCTCATAATAACATCTGCAAACACGACACAGACCCAAACAAAACAGACGCGGCCCTCGACCCGTCATTAGATAGCATGGCTGTGCCGTGACCCGTTAATGGAAGGTAATGTACCCTACAGAGTGTTAATTTGGGGTGAAAGCAGCTCAGTGTTTGAGACAGTCAGAGAAGAGTTATGAGCTGGACTGCGTGCCATCGGACGGGTCAGCGGGCATCTAATGGAGGCATTCAATAATAATCTGACGCTCGTGCCATATGTGTGTGTTAGTGTAATGTTAGTATCCAGTATATGTACTGATGAGTCCAGAGATCGATGCGTCCTGGCTTATGATCCATCCATTATGTGCATGTGTGTAATATTGAAGATCTCTGCATTTATGCGGGAAGTGAAATTGCACTACAGACATAAACAGGAGTGATTTTAACTGATCGGTCCATCAGTTCAACCATTTTGTTTGTTCATTCACTCATTTATTCTGTCGTTTGTTCATTCTTTCATTAGTTTAATTTATTTGTTCATATGTTGATTTATTAATGTATTATTTTGGTGGGTTATATGCTTGTTCTTTCATCGGTTCATTCATGTCCATAAGTTCATTCATTAGTTTACCTGTTGTTCTGTTCTCTTGTCTGTTTATGTCTGATTCATTAGTTTGTTTGATTCATCCGTTCATTTGTTAATATATTTTATTCATTCATTTGTTTTTATTCGTTTATTCCATCGTTTGATTATACTTTCATGAGTTTGTTCATATGTTCGTTTATTCATTCATAATTCATAGGTTTCTTCTTTTATCTGTTCATTCATTCATGTATTCAGTCATTTGTTCATTCATTAGTTTATTGATTTATTCATTTGTTCATTCATTGGTTTATTTGTTGTTCTGCTTATTGGCTATTTCTGTGTTCTTGGATTCATTAGTTTATTGATTTATTCATTTGTTCATTCATATATTGATTGATTTTCGGTTCATTCACTCATAGGTTATTAGTTAATTTATTCTGTAGTTTGTTTATTCTTTCATTACTTTGTTAGTTCCTGTGTTCATTCTTTTGTCTCTCCGTTTATTTATTCTGTCATGGTCATTTGTTCATTCATTAGTTTCTTTGTTGTTCTGTTCATTTGTCGAATTCTGTTCTCTTTGGTTCATTAGTTTGAAGAGTTTGTTCATTCATAGTTCATTGGTTTTGTTCATTAGTTTCATTTATTGATTCATTTGTTGTTTCTTTAATTAGTTGGTCATATCTTTAATTGTTCTTTCATTACTTTAACGCATATGTGACCCTGGACCACAAAACCAGTCATAAGGGTCATTTTTTTGAAATTGAGATTTATACATCATCTGAAAGCTGAATAAATAAGCTTTCACCATTGATGTATGGTTTGTTAGGATAGGACAATATTTGGCCGAGATACAACTATTTGAAAATCTGGAATCTGAGGGTGCAAAAAAAAAAAATCAAAATATTGAGAAAATCGGCCTTAAAGTTGACCAAATTAAGTTCTTAGCAATGCATATTACTAATCAAAAATGAAGTTTTGATATATTTGCAGTAGGAAATTTACTAAATATCTTCATGGAACATGATCTTTACTTAATGTCCTAATGATTTTTGGCATAAAAGAAAAAATCAATAATTTTGACCCATACAATGTGAATGAATGAATGAATGAATGACAACCTGTGCTACTTATGACTGGTTTTGTAGTCCAGGGTCACATATGTTCGTTCTTTTGTCTGTTCATTCATTTGTTTTTTTTATTGTTCTGTTCTTTGTCTAATTATGTTTTTTGATTCTTTAGTCTATTGATTGATTCATCCATTCATTCACGTTTGTTATTTTTGTTCATTAGTTTATTAGTCTGTTTGTCCATTTTTTCCATTTGTTCATTCTTTCATTGGTTTATTTGTTGGTTTGTTCATATGTATTCGTTACTTTAATTTATATGTTTGTTCTCTTTTCTGTTAATTTATGTAGTCATGTTCATTTGTTCATTCATTAGATTATTTGGTTTTCTGCTCATTTGTCAGTTTCTGTGTTCTTTGATTTTGTTGATTGATATTAGTTTATTCTGTCATTTGTTCACTCTTTCATTTATTCGATGTATCTTCAATTGTTCATTCATTACTTTAATTCAGTTCACTTTTCTGTATTCTTTGATTCATTAGTTTATTGTATGATTCATCCGTTCATTCATATGTTCATTCATTTTTGTCCATTTGTTCATTTTGTTTATTAGGTAATTCATTTATTCCTTCATGAGTTTGCTCATATATTTGTTCATTTATTCATTCATTACTTTAATAGTTCATGTCTATTTTTTTGTCTGTTTGTTCATTTGTTCATTCATTAGCTTATTTGTTCATTTGTGTGTTCTTTCATTGATTCGCTTTTGATTCATTCATTAATTCATTCATATGTTCATTGATTTTTGTTCATTCTCATATTCATTGATTTGTTTTTTGATTAGTTCCTTCATAGGTTCTGGTTTGTTCATTCATTCATTCATTATTTTTTACATTTTTAACTTGTTTGTTGTCTTGTCTGTTCATTCATTCATTATTTTTTAAATTTTTTACACGTTTGTTATTTTGTCTGTTCATTCATTTATTCATTCTGGTTCATTTGTTCATTCATTAGCTTATTTGTTTATTTGTGTGTTCTTTCATTGATTCGCTTTTGATTCATTCATTAATTCATTCATATGTTCATTGATTTTTGTTCATTCTCATATTCATTGATTTGTTTTTTGATTAGTTCCTTCATAGGTTCTGGTTTGTTCATTCGTTCATTCATTATTTTTTACATTTTTAACTTGTTTGTTGTCTTGTCTGTTCATTCATTCATTATTTTTTAACATTTTTAACATGTTTGTTGTTTTGTTTGTTCATTCATTTATTCATTCTGGTTCATTTGTTCATTCATTAGTTTTATTCGTTCTGTTCTTTAGTCTATTTCTGTGTTTTTATTTATTAGTTTGTTGACTGATTCTTTCATTGATTCCTGTTCAGTGATTTTTGTTCATTCATTAATTTATTCATTCATCCATTCTTGTTTGTTCATTCATTACTTTGTAATATGTTTTTATTCATTGATTTGTTCATTCTTATTTTCAGTGATTTTTTGTTCATTCACATGTTTACTCATTTGTTCATTAATTTGTTAATTCATCCATTCATGTTTGTTCATTAGTTCATAGATTCATTCATTCATTTGTTTGTTTGGTTGTTCATTTATTTATCCATCTGTTCATTCATTTATTAGTCTGTTTATTCGAAGCAGAGACGTTGAATGATGAGGGAGTGTACGGGAGAACGTCAGAGATCTCACGACGTCATGTTTATTTGAACTTGAGCTAAAAATACACAGCAGTTACTCCATTAACCAGGGATCAGTTAGAGACAACTGTGAGATCCTGTTTCATAATGAGACCCAAAAACAGGCCTGCACCAGTTTCTGCGTGTGAAGCCGAAGCCTCTCCGGACCCCAAACGAGCTCAGCAGACACAAATTACAGAATAAGAGGCTCTGAGAAAACTGACATTTGTGAATAAATTGGCGTAATGGGGATTTTTGTTGCATAAGTGTATTCTGTGATATTGAGAGATGTGTTATCTATTCTAAAACGAATTTATATTCATTTCATACAGTGTTTCAATTATGTGTACACCACCAATCAAAAGAACTTTGATTGCAATTTAAAAAAACTGTTCATAGTTATACTGAAAAATGCTATTACAATTAAAAATAGCCATTTTATATTGTCATATATTTTAAAGTGTAAATTAAAATATCACTTTTGAGTAGTAATATTGTGAAATATGATTACAAATTAAAATAACTTTAATATTGTTATATATTTTAAAATGTAAATTCAAATATCAACTTTAAGTAGTAATATTGTGAAATATTATTACAATTTAAAATAACTTTTATATTGTAACATATGTTGAAATGTAAATTAAAATATCACTTTTTAGTAGTAATATTGTGAAATATGATTACAAATTAAAATAACTTTAATATTGTTATATATTTTAAAATGTAAATTCAAATATCAACTTTAAGTAGTAGTATTGTGAAATATGATTACAAGTTAAAATAACCGTTTTAAATTGTAATATATTTTAAGGTGTAAATTAAAATATCACTTTTGAGTAGTAATATTGTGAAATATTATTACCATATAAAATAATTTTATATTGTAATATAAGTTCAAATGTAAATTAAAATATCACCTTTGAGTAGTAGTATTGTGAAATATGATTATAAGTTAAAATAACGGTTTTATATTGTAATACATTTTAAAATCTAAATGACAGTAAAATATCACTTTTGATTAGTAATATTATAAAATATGATAAAATAACTGTTTTATATTGTAATATCTTTTCAAATGTCGATTAAAATATCACTTTGGATCAGTAATATTGCGATATATTTTTACAATTTAAAATAGCTGTTTTATATTGTAACATACTTTATAATGTAAATTACAATATTAATTTTGATTAGTAATATTGTGAAATATTATTGCAATTTAAAATATATTTTATGTTGTAATATTTTAAAATGTAAATTAAAATATCAGTTTTGATTAGAAATATTGTGTAATATTAGTACAATTTAAAATAACTTTTATGTTGTAATATATTTCAAAATGTAAATTAAAATGATCACTTTCATACATCTATGCTAAATCAAAGTATTGATTTCTTTCAAAAATCTTACTGCCCTCGTGTTGGAATTGCTGATTTGCAAATCTAATTGAAATTGTGAAATGCATCAAAAAGCAGTACGCTACACTGCGTTTCCCACTCACTTCCTGATGCTTCATGTTGTCTGTGTTTTTTCCCAGGTGATGATGACTTCCTGTTGGGGTTGGGTGAGCTGCCGGAGACCTTCCCCAGCGACCCTCCAGAGCCCCTCCCACACTTCCTGCTGGAGCCGGAGGATGCTTACATCATCAAGAACAAAGCTGTCAATCTCTACTGCACGGCCACACCTGCCGCTCAGATCTACTTCAAATGCAACGGCGAGTGGGTTCATCAGAGAGAGCACACCATAGAGGAGCGGGTGGACGAGACGTCGGGTCAGTCACACACACACACACCATCACTCTACTTTATGGGTCGGAAACATTACGGTGCAATAAAAATGTGATAGCCCTGCTTTATTCATGGTTTTCATTGCTAAAGGTGCTGCTAGAGAGATAGATAAACCCCTTCCTGACACCTACAGGTTTGTGTATTATTTATGTAATGTTATGAGAGCTTTTTTGTGAAGGCTTCTTTATATGACTGGGAGTAAAGTTAGTCTAGTCAACACCAAGTGTGACCAGAGACACGACCTAGAACACTTTCTCTGACCGCTCGATGTGGATACATATGGAAGCTTTTTCCTCCACAGGATAAAAAAATACAAATATTACAACTTTTAATCTCACAATTCAGACTGGTTTTCTTTTTTTTAAGATTTATTTTTGGCATTTTTATTTTGATAGGACAGTATAGCAGTGACAGGAAGCGAAGTAGGAGAGAGAGAGGGGGGCGGGATCGGGAAAGGTCCACGAGCCAGGATTCAAACTCGGGACACCCAGAGCACACCAGCACTATATGTTGGCGAACTGCCCACAAGGCTATTGGCGCCGACCAGACTGGTTTTCTGAGTTTATATTGTGCAATTTTTCAGAACTGTGAGTGACAAAAAAACAATCTGAATTCTGAGATAAAAAGTCACTATTACCCTTTTTTTATATTCTGTAGCTTTTATTCTGAAATGGGCTTCCAAAGATACGAGTTAACAGGGTCCGTGTAACGCTTCACAATTAAATTTTCAGACCATATGGAGCAAATGAAAAAACTAAACCAAACGTTACTTCATAAATGAATAATTGCAATTTTTTTCAATTTTACTTTTGCTAAATTGTGACTTCAGAAAGGATCATATGAGTAAATAAAATCTAAACGATTTTCTATTTTCCCATTTTTTTATCTTACAATTTGCGCTGTGGGCTGTACCATTAGCACGGGGATGTTGCCGCGGACTGTTTCACAGACGCTTAACGTGGCTTAATGTATCCTACTAAAACAGTGACACTGGAGGACACACCTTATTAATAATAAACATAGGCTACTATTTACAGACAAGCTAGCCCAGAATATTTGTGCTAAATTGCACATTAAGTGTCAGAATATGAACGAGCAAAGTTTCACGTGAAGCGATTTCTTCCCATAGAAAACTATTGCCATACACACAATAACCACCGGAGATGTACGCTAAAGCTTTATTCATAAACACCAGCCGCGAAAATCCATCTACATATATCTCCGGTTAATGTTTGAACTATAAATGCTACATTTGAAAAATAGAAAATCGTTTAGATTTTATTTATTTAAATGATAATTTTTGAAGTCACAATTTAGCAAAAGTTAAATTGAAAAAAGGAGAGGAAACGGCAATTATTCATTTATGAAGTAAATGAAAAAAATTAATTTGGTTTCATTTTTGCATTTGCACCATATGGTCTGAAAATTGAATTGTGAAGCGTTACACAGACCTAACAGTACGGATTGTTTCAAAATAGCTTCACAATAATAAACAGGAAAATTACAGTGTTAATGCTGTAAAATCAAGTAGTTATGAAACTGAAAGTTTCAGCTGTAAAGCAGCTCTACACAAGACAATTATGCCATTATTTAGATCAAATTTAGTTCAATGAATTGTGAAGCGTTACACGGACCTAACAGTACGGATTGTTTCAAAATAGCTTCACAGTAATAAACAGGAAAATTACAGTGTTAATGCTGTAAAATCAAGTAGTTATGAAACTGAAAGTTTCAGCTGTAAAGCAGCTCTACACAAGACAATTATGCCATTATTTAGATCAAATTTAGTTCAATGTTGATTCAATCAGTCAGTGTTGCAAAGTTCATCAATTATGAGACAAGTTCAATTTTTCAGTTTCAAATTTGCTAACCATTTCTGAGTGAAAATTGTTTCAAAGTAAGTCCTATACATCATATTTCTTCAGCGTATAAGTAGCTACAAATACTAATCTACAACAGAGTCATTATTCAGCTCAGGTCAGTTTAATGTTGATTCAATTCAGTTCAATAACAGTGTCAGTGTTGCAAAGTTAGTGTCATCCAGAAGATACTAGAGAAGCAAGATTCCAAGTGAAATAATTAGATAAATAAGATACGCACTCTTAATAATAAAGGTGTTTTATTGGTTTTATGGTTTCATGAAGAACCTTTAACATGTATTTCCATTGCACAGTAGGTGCTGTTTAAACTAACAAAAATGGTTCTTAAGAACCTTTCACTAAACGGTTCTTTGAGGAACCAAAAATAGTTGTTTTGTGGCATTGCTCTGTTTTTTTAAGAGTGTTGTTCAGCAAATCACAGTGTTTGTTGTCTTTTTCTGTCACGAATCTCTAGCTCAAACCGTATCACATAGTATTAGCAATGCTATTGTCATGAGTTCAGTTCCCAGGGAATGCATGAACTGATGATACTGTATGAATACCTTCAATGCAAAGTCAAAGTATATGCCAAATGCATAAATGTCTTTTTCACACTGCGAGAACAGAACACAGAGTACAAGCCAAGAACAGTGAGTGATCTAGGCCCACTTTTGATGATAGTCAAAAGCTAATATGCTACAATTCATAGATTAAAGGTGCGCCAAGTAATTTTTTTCCCACTTTCAAAAAGTTTCATAGAAGGAAATTTTAACTTGCAGTAACAAACAGTATGGGCATTGGCATATTGGTATTATTGGTTAAAGCATTGGTATATGTGACCTCAGACCACAAAACCAGTCATAAGGGTCAATTTTTTTAATTTGAGATTTAAACATCATTTGAAAGCTGAATAAATAAGCGTTTGTTAGGATAGGACAATATTTGGACTAGATATGATTATTTGAAATCTGGAATCTGAGGGTGCAAAAAAAAAATCCAAATATTGAGAAAATCACCTTTAAAGTTGTCCAAATGAAGTTCTTAGCAATGCATATTACTAATAAAAAATTAAGTTTTGATATATTTGTGGTAGGAAATGTACAAAATATCTTCATGGGGCATGATCTTTACTTTATCCTAATGATTTTTGGCATAAAAGAAAAATCGATGATTTTGACAATGTATTTTTGGCTATTGCTACAAATATACCCCAGCGACTTAAGACTGGTTTTGTGCTCCAGGGTCACATATTTAGGAAGATGAATAAGTGCTAATGCAACATAAATTAAAGATTTTAATTATCTACTTCTATATTCAGAAGTCTGGGGATTGTAAGACTTTTTCATGTTTAAAGAAGTCCCTTCTGCTCACCAAGGCTGCATTTATTTGTTAAAAAATACAGTAAAATCAGTAATATTGTGAAATATTATTACAATTTAAAATGACTGTTTTCTATTGTAATACATTGTAAAATTCAATTTATTCCTGTAATGCAAAGCTGAATTTTCAGCATCATTATTCCAGTCTTCGAATATGCTGTCACTTTTGATCAATTTAATGCATCCTTGTTGAATAAAAATAATAATTGGCTGACTCCAGACTGAATGAGAAATCTAGCTATAGAATAAGACAGTTTAGGGTAATGTTTCACCTATAGCACTCAATTGCAACAGCACTAAGAATGCAACACTTTTAAAATGAAACCAAGCATTTGCCCTCACATATCTGCATATGTTTTAGGCCTAATGTTTGCTGCAGAAGACAGAAGCACTGCCGTGCATTTCGAGGTTGGGAAAGCTAGCAGCCCTCCACTAATGTTCGATCATTCAGAATGAAAATAGCCTGTTTTGGCCGAGGCTGAAGCGCAGTCACCTCACCGCAGGAGAAACCGACACGAGCCGCTCTCTGTGTGGGCGAGCGAAGAGCTCAATTCATTACGCAGAGGTTAACAAGCTCCTATTGAGCTAATGACTCTAATGGATCTTTGATATCAACCCGCCGCAGTAATTCTGCTCTAATATCTCTGCGGTGGAAACTTTACCGTCATAATCACACCTCGGATATTACTCGAGGTCAGAGCGTGGAGATATTATGGGCCGCCGAAACGGGGCCGACTTCTCTAAACACTGTCATTGAACTTTAATGTGCAACGGTAACGTTTATCATAAAAAATTATAGTGTGTGTGAGAGAGAAAGAGATTTAGAGAGAGAGAGAGCAAGAGAGATATAGTTTATGCTTTTAATTAGATTTCTGTCAGAGGTCTGTCTTTGTTTTCGCCGGCCGCGGGCTCCCTCTGGCATCGCTATCTGTCTCTATTTGGGATGGTGTAATATCGTTATGAATCAATTTCATTGTTCGTTTTGGCGATTGTGAGTAAACAAGGTTAAATCTGTTCCTTGTCATGAAAGCTGGTGTGTAATCGGCTCACGGTGTGCGTGATGAGTGTTTTGGGTGTCTAAATTGTGCAGAAGATTCAGATTGAGATCTGGTTCAGTCAGAAAGACTCTTTCCTGCTGCGGTCTTCGTCTCAGAGGGTCTCGTTTAAACAGACGTCTTAGTATCTTTACACAACAGAACGGCATTCAGAAAAACATCTGCCACATTCACAATGTCAAGCAAGTTTGCATTGTTTTCTGGAAGACTGGTCATTTATCTTTTGGTGGGCAATAGCGATGGGATTTGAGCTCATAAGAACGGAATGTATAACATGTATAATTAGAAAAAAAAACGTCATCTAATATTTTAAGATATGAAAAATGCTACACAGTGATGATATGACCAATAAGTTATGAAAACGTTACTTTACGTTAATTTACATTACTGTAACTCGTCAAAATAACTAAAGCAATTTTCAACTTTAATTTATGTTCTACAAGCTTCAACTCATTTTTTAAGCCAGTTTAATGTAATTTAAGTTGAAATGACTTAAACAGCTAAGTTGACTGTACTAGCAACTTATTTTTTACATTTTAGAAATTAATTCCTGAATCACTTGATTCACTGGAAACGGCCGTTTGAACTGAATCACAAAAATGAATCAAATGTACTGATTCTAGATACTTTTATGCAACTAAATTTGAAATCTGGGATTGTATTTAAACGTCTCAGTCTTAACGCTCTTTTA